AGAAGAGAAAGAAGTCTGAGTGCGCTCACTTTCGCTGTTGCTGTGACATATATTCTGATGTGAGCTGTTCAGTGCAAGAGTAATGTCAAGATATTGTCTCGCAGAATTCCCACAGTTAAATCCAGAAACATAAATGACAGTGACATAATATTATAGCATTGTCACTCAGCACAGTTATTCTCCTACTGCTGGGATTTTTGATGGGGTTTCTGAAGCTGTCCCGTGTAATTGATACTGGAGAAAATTCCTAGAGGCAGCTACTACTCTGATGAGTGGATACCAATATGAGGCCGGCCCATGTTGTTTCAACAGTGTTTTTTGCCTTTGACTCACATTTCTCATGAGTTGTAATAAGAACCATTAACAAAACCTGCAATGACTTTTATTTCTTACCTATTGGAACTGAACAGTTAGAACCACATTCTTACACTCATGTGTATAATAATTTTTCTTAGTTAATAGTTTAAAAATGTAGTTATTTGTATCCACTCTTCCCACATTTCCTCTTTGAATCTTCCAGAATAATTTGCGGCAGAAACTCCATATTGTTTTCCGAGTTGAACTGAGTTTTGTCACTATCTTAGAATAAGTAAATCTCCAATGTATTTCAGTTACTTTACCTTTACTCCCATTGGGTTCCTTATACATGCAGTTAACTTTCACCCAAGCAATAATGAAAACAATACAGAAGTTTGCTTTACCACAGTAGCCATTGCTCTGACTTTTTGAAAATTAAAGGTTTATAAACTGACTAGTCATCGGTTATGGTGCCTGGGGTAGTAGATTCCACTTCTTCCCTATCTGCTTACAACTGTCAGATGTTAAGCTGTTCTTGCTCACGGCAAACCTAATTGCTTTTGGACTTGACTTTTGCATACTGGCTATCTTTCTTTGAAATATTGTTATTGTCTTGCTGATTGGAATTCATATTGTCTCCTTGAGAGTCTTGAAGCCAAACATCACCCTCCCTACCACTCTACTGTTAGCCAGCTTGACTCTTGGGTCGATGAGGACTTCTGTTCTTTGTCTATACCGGTTTCCCCTGCTACCCCAAAAGCAGAGCGTTCCTATGAAACCTTCCTTAAGCCAAAATGGCTTAAAGCGAAGAATTTACCTGGGGACACATCTTACTAAGTGATGCACAAAATAAATGGAGATGAAGCACAGATGTTCACAGACACAGTTCAAAGCTATGGCGGCTTGAGGCTGCGGCGCTGAGCGTAGTTCCTGGGAAAGGAGTCTGGCGGGGCCACTCTCATCACTCGGGGTGCGGCTGCCTCCATAATGGCTCCCTGCAAAGCAAACACTGAACACTATTTTCAATTTTTCTCTCTCTCTTTTTTTTTGGTAAAAGCAAAAATTCTCTTCAGATTTCTTCCAGTTAGCAAAAATGGGTACTAATGTTGTAGGTCTTTCAGAAAAGCAAAGTGGCATAAAAACAAACTTTCGGTAAGCAGGGATGCCTGTGTATGCATTTCACAGGGAACTCTGCAAGGTACTTGCCTGAGCCCTTTTGGTCTGGCTTTAACACTGCTAATAGCCTCGTCCAAAACTGAAGCTGTATTATTTTAATGTTTTTTAGATGGTCAAGAGCCAGTATAAATGTTTTGAACATGACAACACTCAAAATAAAAAGCACCATCTTAAATGCATCATAACAGTATAACCAATAACATAGCCTGGGTTTAGAGGTTAATACTAAGAAGAGCATGGTGAGTGGTGAGGAGCAGGCTAAGAATCAGGTGTGAACACAGGCCATGACACCTGTGAGCGATATGACCATAGACAAGTTATTCAGTGTTTCTGAGTCTCAGGTTTTGCATCTCTAAAATGGAAATGATGATGTATTTTTAAGGATTAAATGAGACATGTGTACACATATATAATGCACTTGATACAGTTTCTAGCAGAGCTAGAACATAGTAAGTGTTCAATAAATGATAGTTATCATCACTGTCTTCTGTGATTCGGGATCATTTCTGATAAGTAAGGAGAGCTACCCAGATGTTCTTGATATGAATCATCACTGTGTGTTAATTTGTTCATCTGTCTGTCTATCTAGGCAGTTCTGTGGATAAGGCAGCAATGGAGCTCCAGTGTAGAGGAATGACTTAGCTTACCTCCTGTCAGGGATTAAGTGTGCATGGAAGAAGCATACCTTCTTTTAGATTAGGTCTAATATTAAACTAATAGCTAGAAACCAGATCCATTCCTGCCAGTACACACCACTTCAGAGAGGGCTTCTCCAAGGTTAGCCCCATCTCTTTGTGCAAAGCACGAGTGAATTTGTTTGACATGATTAATGATAAAAATGACCAAGTCCCTGATTTTCTGCATCAGGATTTCCGTGCATCCTTTGAGTGTACTAGCTGGAATAGGCACACTGTGAAGGTTGCATCTGCTCTGTGCCAAGCCCTGCGCTGGGTATTCTCACAGTTTCTTCTTCATCTTCCCAACAACATTTGAGATTAGCATTAACTTCCTTACTTTATAGGTGAGAACACCAAGACCAGAGGAATCAGGTAACTTGTCCACAACTGAGTTGTGGGAGAGTAAACCAAAAACAGCAATAGAGGTTCCACCAGCTCAATTTAACCACAGTTATTTGTTTAGTGCCAGTTTTCTTTTTTTTTATCAAAATAATATCGAATGTCCGTATTACTATAAAAACATTTCAGGGCAGGACTCAGGAGCCCAAGATAGTACCAATAACATCAGATCCCATTACCTTCTGGGAGAAAGGCAGTGGGGATTTTATGGGAGGAATTCATATTCAAGATAAGCCTTTGGCAAAGTAATTAAGAGTAAGAATAAAAAGAAATAAGAAAATGTAGTGTTTTTAGACTTACAAAATACACTTGCAAAGGTTAATGTTGTATTTTTCTGAAATGGGGGAATTCTTTGATCTTGATGCTTAAAAAAAGAATATAAAGCTGTTTGGGTCATATAAACAATATTGCCTACAAGTAAGCAGCATCGGGACCACACTTATTTAGCATATTTGTAAATCATCTGAAAGGATTTTATGGTGAAATTCTAGGTTTGCAAAACCTGCCAAGCTTCTTCAGGTAGTGAAATGCCAAGCTGACTAATACAAATGCAGAAAGGTAACACAGGCCTATACGAGTGGGCAGAAGGGAAGCAGACGGGCTTCTGCATGGACAACCGTAAGATAAGGAATTTAGGGAGAAATAATTTAAACCATCCTTCCAAGATTAAAGGGCTTTGAATTATCAGCTGTAACAAAATTAGATTTTTCAAGTCAGTGTTTTTTTCCCCCTAGTTATTCCTACTACAGATAAAAGTGCTTAGAAAGGGCATTTAAAAGGGGGATTAAATGCAGAAAATAGTATCCTGCTCAAATGTAAAGCCATGGTTCACTTATACCTGGAATATTATGAGCAATTTGTTCAATAAACCTTAAGCAGTTGTGCTCGGGTAAGAGAAGGTACAGAGAAATTCAATTAAAATGATCTATGGGGAGGAAGGCCTGCTCTATGAAAACAAACTGCAAAGATTAAGTTTCGTCAGCCTGGGAGGATGAAAGTTTATGAAATCATTGGGATATGGTGCATGTGGACATTCTAGTTTAAATACTAGTTTGAAATCTAAATAAATTTGGGCAGAGAAGCCAATAAGCTGACAAGTAGGCAAATAAAATTTCAAGCTAGCACAAATGAAATGCCTACCCCCACCCATTTAAAGCTGGAAAGAGAATTTTTTTTAAAAAAAAAAAAAAGTCATTTACACAGTGTGTAGTGTACTTTGGGAACTAATTACCTAACCAGAGTTGTTATATCCTGGAACTACACATGGGCAGCGGAAGGGGTAAACACATTTCTAAGGAATCATTCTTGTTGTTTTTAAAAGTCAGTAATATTTGGAGATATGCCCAAACTTTGAAGTTTACATTGGAGTAGAAAAAGTTTTGAAATCAGCAAACCTGACTGCAATCTCCAGGCCACCGCATACTAGCTCTTAGGCACCTTAACCACTCTGAACCTCTGTCTCCTCATCTGTAAAGCTAAAAGAATCCCTTCCAGATAGAGAAGATTGACAGGGGTAGTACTTGTAAAACTCCAAGAAGGAATAGGGACTGGGGCTATTTTCAAATCTTGGTTCCCTTTGCCATCTCTTCTACACTGTGCCCTTTGCAGCACTGTCAGATTCAAAATCCTATCCTGGGGAGACTCTGAGTCTCCCCCAAGTAGATAGGGCTTGACCGTAACTCTTCTTCACTACTATTATCTATATTAACATTCATTCTTTCATATTCATTGAGCCCCTATTATTTCAGGCATTGCTTTAGGCTTTGGGGAAATAAGTGATAAAGATAGACCAGGTCCCTGCTCTCAGAAAGCTTACCTGGGGGAGAGGGGCACACAAACACTAAATCTTTGTGAAGAGATACCACCTGAGCAGTGTCCAGAGGGATGAGAAGGCATCTTTTGAAATTCTCAGGGGAAGCATTCCAGGCAGATGGACAAACAGAGTTAGAGACCCTAGTGGGAGTGAGAATGGAATGTTCAAGGCACAGAGAAGGCCAGTGTGACCAGGTGTCCCGAATGAAGAGGAGAGAGGCAAGGACGCGAGCCAGACAGAGAGCAACCAGCCCTGTTGGAGCTCAAGGTCAGGTCAGGGCTCAGATTTTATTCTAAGACCAAAAGCAAGCTTTTGGAGCGGTCGTGTGGTTAGGGAGAAGACTCCACTTGTACTTTTGAAAGGTCTTCCAGCTGTCGAGTGGAGAATGGGACTCCAGGGTCGCATGAGTAGAAGGAGCACTGTCTCTGCTTTCTCTTCCTACCCCCTCTACTTTGCCCCTCGAGACTTTCTCCACGTTACTCCCCTCTTTCTGGACTCCGAGGGTCACCCTGATTTCACGCCTCTCATGGTGCAGAAGTAACTTCGCACAAAGCTCTTTTCATTCCTTCATCTTTTTAGGACGTACGAAGGTTATTTTTCTCAAATGAAATATTTAACCCAAATATATGTCATTTCAGGTTTTAAAAATCAATTTGATTGGCCACAGGAAACGTATTTTGGCATCTCTGGGAGACAGGCTGCACGAGGATCCGCCACAGAAGCCCCCTCGGTCCATCACCCTCAGGGTAAGTGCTCAGCACATTCGTGTTGCTCTCCATGCTTAGCCCCCCAATTTATTTTGGGCAATAACATGAAACGACTAAAACAATGGATCAGGAAGCACAGGCTGTTTTCCACATAACTCACCTTATCCATATAAAACACAGTCTCACTTTCGATTGTGTTTTTTAATAAGATTTTTTCCCGCCCTTAGTTAAATACAATAGTTTTGAGATTTAGAAACACATCTGACAAACCACCACCTTTAAAGAACCACTCTCGCTACTGCCATCCCACACTCCCGTCTACACCAGGAGAGAGGAAATGAGTTTTCTGTCAAACTCCTCAAACCCACAGAAAGAAAATTGATCCAGGACTATAGTTAAGTAAAGATCCATTTAAAATTAACCTTAAGGTCTTCTCTTCTTTAAGAAGTAAAAATTGCCCAGCTTTACCCATTTCAAAAGTTAAGAATAGAGAATCTAGAATTTTATTCAATAAACTATTTCAACTATATTTTAGGATTATGGGGTAGCAAAACGAGAGAGAGAAACCTTAGGTAGAAAAAAATGGAAGGGGAAGGAAGGCAAGAACAGAGAGAAAGAGAACAAAAGAGATGATTTCCAGGCAAAATGGAGTGAGAAGTAGCCGCCAAAATAGTCACTGGGTTTTGTGAGGCCTCAAGGAACTTTTCTAAAATTTATCAAAACACCAGAATCTCCATGACCGGTCGGAGAGTTCCAACTCTGTTCTCTTTAGTTAGCCCTGTACCTTGCTCACTTCTGATTCCCATTCTGCAAGTATAAGAAAAGGAAGTGGTAGTAAATGATGAACACAACGCATGGCATTTAGACATAACTGCCAGCAATGAAATGCGGTAGAATGCCTCTTATCAGTGAACGTCGGAAAACAGCATGACCACTGTCAAGAGAGCAGAGGGTCGGGCAGAAGAGGAGCTGTTAAGATTTGAGTCCGATTCATTTTTAAAGAAGAAAATGTGCAAAGATTTCAGGAAATGTAGGAGAAGTAGCTCCAGAATGGAGCCCTGAGGAAAATTGATTTTTAGGGCAATTGGGAGACACTGGGACATTTGGAAGCTAGTTGAGGGCTTTAGGAGTAGTGAAAGGAGAAATAGGAGCTTTTTTTCTCCCACAATAAGAGGAGCTTCAAATAAATTGGGGGGCAGGAAAGAGGGTAAAAGAGATTATTGTTTTGCCTTCATTTTGCTACACTAAAGGGAAAAAAGATATAGGCACCATCAGTATAATCATCCTAAAATGACTGTTTAGAGGAGTCATTTCCTGCTACTTACCCTATTCTCTTTCTTTCCCCTTCTGAACCCATCCCTCTGGTTCCCTGGAAGAGATTTAGGGTAACAACAAACAGAGATTCCCAAGAAAAACATGCCAAATCTTAACTTGTCAAAGGAACCTTAACTTTGTCCAGAAATCTGAGGGAGGCTCAGGGACTAGCGCAACTCAATCCTCTTCTTACTTGCAAACACTAGAGCCCAGCTGTCTGCTGCACCTCATCTTTCTTCTGACCAATTTCCTTCAGCTTGAGTCATCTTTACCACTGAAACGCATCCACTGTCGTATGCATTACTCTGCCATCTGTACGTGTGACATGCCATCTCTCCATGCTGCGTCCTTTTCCCCACCTGATTGCCAGACCACTCTCTGGTGGAGGATCAAGACCCATTGGCTCTCATTGTAGCTCTCTCATCATGGCATCTGCCGTGGTGAGGACAGTTCGTCCATGTGAACACACGGCTCCTTGTAAACCGACGTGACAGCGTCAGGGGTGCCCGACATCTGTGTGCTACTCTCCTCTGAGATCACCCAGAGTGCTGGGTTAAGAAAACAGCCTGATTCTTTATACTTTAAACCTTTGACCTGAAATATTTAGGGGGAAAGGTATTGACTAGATCGTGCCATTAACAAAATGGTGGAATGTCATCCATTCCTTGGCAGTTGATTCAAGAATGACTCCCCACCCCCGCAGTTTGTCTTGTCAGTATTTCACAATTTTGCAACCAAAGGTTAGCCACAAAAGCATGGTATTTACTTCATGATGTATTTCCATTCAGGAACCCAGTGGTAATCACACTCCTCCTCAGTTGTCTCCATCACTTAGCCAAAGCACTTACACCACTGGTGGCTCCCTAGACGTTCCTCACATTATCATGCAGGGCGATGCAAGGAGGAGAAGAAATGAAAACTACTTTGATGATATTCCCCGATCAAAACTGGAGAGGCAGATGGCCCAGGTAAGGTGTTAAAAGCCTCTGTGACGTTGTCGCCTTTCCTCCGTAGCAAGTAATGCATTCTAATTTTGAATAACAGCTTACGATGGATGCCTGTTGTCCACACTAACTGGAACTTTACCATTTTTTTATGCCACGGCTTTCATTTCCCGCTCACTTGAACTAGGCTGAGACAGACCTTTCTGGGAACGGAAGGTATACACAGAGCCTTATTACACATTCTTGTTAAAAAAATTATGTCTGATCTCATTGCATCCAGCAAGTCTTTGCTCTAAAGGGAATAATACTGTGCAAGAATCAAATCATAACGAAAATGAATAATAAAAGCCTACGTTATAAAATGTAAATTGGCTGGATGACAGGGCAGAAGTCGGGGGAGGAAGTAACTCCAGGTAATATTGTTAATTTCCTTTCAAGTTTATACATTTACACAGAATTATACTGTTGGGACTAGTTGCATCATCTCTCGTTGTCACCTCGAGCGGCTGAAAATGATGATGCTGCCTGACACAAATAACTGAAAAGAGAGATCTGTCACGTTCAGATCTTTCTATGTTTTGGGTATGAAAGTCCATATCTGTCTGGCCTGTCCTCAGATTGCTGCTCAGAAACTGAAGTCAACCACGACCGCACAGTGGCACTGGCCTAACACGCATTCAGAGAGAGGCAGCTAGCTCTGCCGTTTCGCCCCGAGATTCAAAGATAGGGATTTGTTGACAAATATTGGCAGATTCAACTCTCTTCATCCTCATTCTAGGTTCAGACTGGTGCATTAAGAGGCTTCTCTCTGCCTCCCACACCTAAGATGAGAATCTCGAGGTGAAAATTTGACTGTAATTGCTTCGCCCGGGTTGTTAAATATTTTTCTCAACTGTTTGGTGAGATTCTGTTTTTAAAAGCCTTTCGTAAACATTCTATGCAGCCACTCACAAAAGAAAAATGTGAAGAGAATGTTCTGGAAACCATGGCTATTCTGCCTGCAAATGCCCTGGAGAGAAAGAGCCTGGGATATTGTGTTTCTTTTTAGCTCTCTCGATTTTGAATTGTTCTCAGAGTTCTTTGCGCAAGGAATGGCAATGTTGGGATTATGGAGAATATTTTATTGAAGGGAGATGGAAAATGTAGGAGAGACAGAAAAGAATAATTTTTCCTTTCTCTCTTGTTAAGTATTGCCTTCTAATCCTTATTAATGTCTTCACTGTTGTTTTTTAAATAAAGAGCCTGAAAGCTTTTTTCCCCAAGTCGTTCATATATTTCCTGCTATTTGTCAGTATCTGTGGATCACAAATGTGGTTAAATCTCTCTAGTGGCAGAATTTTAGAGACAAAGTTTGTTTTAACCTTGAACCATGTAGTCTTTGTGTGTTAATATAAACCTAGTCTTTCTGAACCCTTCTCTTCTCTGGGTAAGGAGCAATCATGCATTAATGAGCGTTAGCTTTTATTGACTGTGCCAGCTTCAGGAAGAGAATCACCTATCTCAGCTGCTCATCTAATTTATGAAACATCTCCGCATAGTACGATTTTTTTCAAAGAGGAAATTAATTACTCTTCCATCTATGTGTGAACACTCAGGTAATCTAACAAGACTGCTCTCTTCCTTATTTATTTATTTATTTATTTTAGGAGATTCACAAGCTAGGGGCAGTGTATCTTTTGAATAGCCTAGATCTTTTTCTTGTCACTCCAATCAGAATGTGTTGCTTTCAGGAATTATGTTGTTCTTGAGAAAACTGAATGAACTTGTATCTGGCCAGGCAAGAAAGGCCCAAAAGCAGAAAGAGGAGAGAGATAAGCAGGCGGATGGGATGTGGTGACCTACAGTGGATCCATGTGAATGTGCTTATTCACCTCACGTGTACTGTTACTGATGATAGAAAGACTGGTATAGACACAGGTCTGCATCAGCAACTAGATTGCTAGAAATTTTCTAAAATACTGCTGTTCAGTACAGCACTTTTGCTGCAGAGAAAAGAAGAGATGGGACCACAGGAATCTGATCAATAAGAAAAAGGGATTCCAGAATCGTAACTCTTTAGGTTGCGTTAATTGTAGCCTTTTATTCGTTTGTTTTAAGAATGTTTTCTAGTCTGGAAATGCCCGAAATCATGGAAAAATGAACATGTATGGACCTCTTAAAAATAGTGCCATTTCGAAGCTTTTTTTTTACCTTTCGAGATATTAAATACTTGGTACTTTTGATGTTGAACAGTTTTATGTATGTGACTTTTTCACTACTCATCCACTCAGTTGATGTTTTTTTTCTTATTCTTCCCTTGTTTTGGTTGTTTGCTATACTAATTTTTAAAAATCTACTTGCTTTTTTAAAAAGCCGTCGTACTTTCTGTAGACCACATTCTTCCCCAAAGTTATGTGCTTAGCCTATAAAGTTGAGTCTTCCTGAAGATTTGAGTTAGCAATTAGGATTCCGGTAAGCGGACAGCTAATTACACCTCCTCCCCACCTGGAGCTCAGTCCCCATGTTTCTTTCCCAAGGGGTTTCTCTCAAAAGGCCTACTGTAGTGTGCTTAATGCATGCCTAACCAGTCTGTACCTTGCTGTCTCAGACATCCATCTTCAGGCTTTCTTTCTTCCTTGCTAAAAGAAAGGAAAATGCAGTTATTAGAGAATCACCAGACAGATTCATGTTCTCAGAACCCCGCTTACTTCTTTAAATTTATCTGAGCTCCCACTAGAGTGCTTTGGAATTCCAGCCATAGGCCAGAAACCTTAAGTTCTTTGTGACTGCAATAATTCAGAGGAGTTTTGCCTTCTTAAGGTCTGCTCAATAGATGTTTGGAAATGCTTTGCTTAATTTGGAAAAGTAATGCTTAAAGTTAAATGAAGATACATTTAATGTCCATTCTACCTATTAAGTTTATTTGTCGGCAAATATTTTTTTAAAGGTAACACTAGAGTGGTATATAATTACTTGTTTTCAATTCAAACCAATATTAAAAATAGCTATCTTAGAATACGAGGAATCTGCAAAAATTGTGGCTATTGTTTGCTTTTATTCTGATATAACCAATATTCTTGCGTCAAATTGTCTTAAATGAATATGTGAGAAACAAATGAGTTTTTTACTAGTAGTTTTTAAACCACTGAATGTAATGATGTAAACACATTTAAACAATAGGGTTCCCTATTGTGCTAAAAATATAGCTTTTCTAACCTAAAATTCTAAATTGTACACATTAGCTCAGAAGCTCTGAAATGCTTCCCCATTTCCATACCCCTAATAAATAAATGTTGCACTCACATTTTTATAATAATACCTTAATTCATATAGAGCTTTAAAATTTTTAAAGTACTTCCACATCTGTTATCTCATTTTAGCACAAACAAGGTATCCGACACAGCTGTTGATGTGCGTGTAGCACATGGCACATCCGCTTTTAAGTCCAAGCTCTGCAAAGATGAGATAGTAAGTGAAAATATGTCAAAGGAAGGGAGAATATTTCCGGTATTTAGAGCCTAATCTTAATCTTTAGAAATTTTCTTGAATGATATTTAGGAGGAGTCAAAATACTCTTAAAATGAATACTAAAGGAGAGTAATGGAATTAATAAAGTTTAGGGATCACATTCTTCAAAGTCATGAATAAAGGGAAAAGAGTTCCCCAGTGCAAAAGTTAAAATCATTTATAGAAGGCCTTCATTTATAGAAGATACTTATGGAAAAATGAAATAGTACTTCTATTTGCAGAAAATAAAAAGACTCCTAAACAGGAAGAGAAATGTAGATTTTTGCACAAACTTCAGCTTTATATTAATGAGGATTATTCATAATGTGGAAGTCCTTGTGCTTTGAATATTCTCATCTAAATAAAATTATTAATATTGCCTGAAGAACACAAACCTGAAAGCAGGCATGATCCACATTTTAAAAGCAAGGAAACTGAAATATTACAGGGCTCGGTCCGGGTGGTGCAGCCAAAAGAAACCAAATTAGAATTTGCCTGAAGCAATGCGTTAGGCTCTCTAAAGGCTTTGTCTAAATTCTTTCTAAATCATAGAAAGTAGATTCAGTTCAGTCTAATCATTTCTGATCCAAACAGCATTACTTAATAAGTATGACTAGATCAATTCCTTCTTTATCTGAAAGCATTTTACACATTATATTAGTTCTACAAATATTCATTCTTTTGATATTGTTAAAAGAAGAGAAATGGAAACCAAGCCATATAGAAGCCTTGCCATGGCCAGATTCATCCCTGGGATTCCAGGTGCCATATTTTAACCCTCACAACAGCTCATCCTGTACCCCAGGAAGCCCAAGTGGGTGAGTGAGTTGCCTAACAACTGGTACGTGACAGAGCCAGCACTCCAGCTCTGCTGTCCCTGATCGTACCCTGGTTCTTCCATGGTTCCCGATGCCCTGTGGGCTGCCTCTGTTCTAAAATGATATAAAATATTTTCGTAACAGTTCAACAAATACTAAATTGTCATATGCTATAACAGATTACACTTAACGTAGGCACAGCGAGCAGAACAAGAATAAAATCACTAGTAGTTTAGTGGGCATTTATTGAATCAGGACATGGTTATCACCACAAAACCCTTTAAATGCAGAACTACAGTGGATATTTGTTGACCCTTTTAATGGGAACCCACCTTGAACATCTTGGTAGAACTCTGTCCTCCTATGTTTGTGAAAAGCTTTGCAGGTAGATGTGGAGTTTACTGCTTTTACAGAGACGTACTTGCTGGTGGGCTTTCTCCACATTGCATGCTGTTTCCTTAATGGCTTCTTCAGTTGGAGTTCTGATTTGGTTTCTTTCTTGCTGTGACCTCCACCAAATCATGCAGTTTCTCTGAACTTCAGTTTTCTTGTCTTTAAAATGTGGGTAATGCCTACCTCTCAGGTTCGGATCAGATGAGATAATTTATGTGAATGCATATTCCAGACTGTGAATACATACATGTATATATATATTTGATTATCAATTCAGATATATCACCCATCAGTCCCAAAATCAAAGGTCCCTGATTGTTATAGGGC